AGCAATGATCTGCTCCACGTTTTGATTCCAATTAAATTATTTATAAGCTAAAATAAAAATATCAATTAAAATATTTATAATAACCAAAAAAGACAATACAAATAAAAAAAAAGTACCTCTGGTTAGTTATTAAAACGTATTCTTTAGGAGACCCAAACCAAACAACAACACTCACGTTTTGTCATCTTGGACTGTCAAAAAATAAATTGTTTTTAATGTTTTTCCAAAAAAAAAAAATCAATTCGCATCTGTCCTACCAAAAAAAAAACCAATAGGATAAATAATTAATGTGTATGCGTCGATCAAATAACAAACTTCTTTTTTTTATTTTAAAAAATATCAATCGAAGTCAAAGTAATAAAAGAAGAAGAAAAGAAAACGATCATGAAAACACATCGCTGGGTAAATGTTTTAAGAATAAGGATGGTGGTGGTGGTTATCGTCCACCACTCATCATTACTCTAGTTTAATATAATAAATTCATAAATTTAAAAAAAAATTTTTTTTTAAAATAAATTTTTCAAGCCTAGTGCCATCATTAAAATACATCAACAATCTTATAAATGATTTAACAAATTTATTAAATGAATCAGACTTTTATGATGTAGAAGTTAAAGTGGGAACAGACAAGAACATTAAAATTTTTAAGGCTCATTCTACAACTTTAAAAGCAAGATCTTTGTGTTTTAAGACAGCTCTATCTAATAATTGGATCAAAAAATCAGAAGATGGTAGTATTATTTTATTCAAAAAAGAAAACATCTCCCCAAAAATATTTGAAATTCTTTTAATGTAAGAATTTATATATATATTTATTTATTTATTTGAATCAATAAGTAATATATTTTTTTTTTGAAAAGATATATGTACAATGGAATGGTTGAGATAGAAAATTTGAGCCCTTACAAAATTGTAGAACTTCTTGAAGCATGTGATGAGTTGGATTTTAATGAATTGATTGGTGATTTACAAAATTATTTATTAGAAAAAGGAAAAGGATGGATTAAACAAAATTTATTTTATTTTAATGAAACTTCATTAAAATATCAATCATTTGGCTTGCTTCAAAATTATTGTGAGGAAATATTTAGTGAAGAGCCAGAATTATTTTTAAAATCTGATGATTTCAAGAATATTGAACAATCTATGCTTATATCCATATTAAAAAAAGATAATTTAAGATTAGAGGAAATTGATACTTGGGACTATGTTATTCAGTGGGGAATTGCACAAATTGAAAATTTGGAAGAAAAGAATGATCTATCAAAAATGATTTTGAAATGTTGAAAATTTTATTTGAAGATATTATTCCATTGATAAAATTCAAAGAAATTAAATTTGGAGATTTAATGAAAAAATTACACCATATAAAAAAGTTTTGATGAAAAAGTTTATAAAGAGCTTCTTCAATTCTATACTACTGATAATTGGCAACCACAGCTATTACTACAAAAAGGTCCAAAGCAAGAACAGGAAAATTGTTAAATTTACAAATAAGATATTTAATTTCTAGCTGGGTTGATTACAAAAATGATTTATATAATATAAATAATTTACCTTATGAATTTAATTAATACTTAGTGGAACTAATGATGGATTCTCTAGATCAGTGTTTGAGGATAAATGTTATGATGTTGAACAAACTGTTATCATTATGAAACTTAAAGATACAGGCGAACTGGTCGGTGGCTATAATCTAGTTTGTTGGAATTTAAAAGAAAAATCTCTAAATGATGAATATTCGATTAAAACTGATACCATAAAGTCTGGAAAGATAGCATCCCCTTTTTACATGTGTAACATTTTTTTTATATTGACGCTCAATTGTTTTAAAGTAGGGGGTGCTATCTTTCCAGACTTTATGGTAAAAGTTTTATTTTTAAAATAGAGGATCAAATAAATAACTCAATATTAAGCAGGATTAAAGATCCTGAAAAAGCAATATATCATGATAGTCAAATAATCGACATGACTATCAATTATACAAGGTTTCATGAAGAAACCATAAATTTTAATGATGTTGAGTTATACATCAGTAATGATGGTAGACCTCACCTTGTTTATATTTATCATTATTATGAAAATGATCTAGATTTAAAATATTATAAAGAAATTTATTTGTTAGAAGAATTTGAATGTATAAAATAATAAAGAAAATTAATAATCATTGAATTGCAAATTAATATATTTTTTATTTTTTTTAATTTTCTATCTAATGATAAAAGATCCAATTCACACAATGATAAATGTAGCCTACTCTGTTTCTACTCTAAAGTTGGTCTGTAACTGTTTTTGCATTTTCTGACAACCTTTGCAACCCCTGAAACTGTCTGCAGCCTCTGAAACTGTCTGCTAGTAAATTGTGGACAACTAATTGTCATGATTAGTGTCAATCAATAAGAATCAACTTACTGTGGATGTTATGCCCTATTACTATTACTATTACTATAAAAAATAAAATATGGAATTTCCATGTTTTATACATATATAAAAAATAAATATGGAATTTCAGTATTTATACAGTATATGATCTGAAATTTTCAATGTAATAAGAGATATGGTATAGGTGTGGAATAGGCATGGAATATGTAACTTTTGAAGATAACAAAGACATGCTCAACCTAGGTAGTAAATTATTTCCCTTCCAATTTTCCTTTATGATTTTGTGGCAAAGCTATTTTATTGATTATGATTTTCTTTCTTGATAAATTTCATAGGTATTCCTTTCTTTTCTTAGATAAGCTTCAAGTGTAAGTATCATTTGTTTTGAAAATATAAGGAGCAATTTTTTCACCTTGTTCCTTTTTCAAAATACTTCTAATGGTGCTATAATTCTTGGGTTCCATAGTAGATCTGATGTAAATGAGTTTCATATTAACTATTTTTATATAGAGATAATTCTATATATCACTTAAGATAACAAATGGGATATTATAAAACTGTTAATTATGATCACATTACAAATGACTAAATTTTGATCCCTGAAATCCTTGGTAATACCAATGTTCACTTTGTCTGGTTTTGTTGCAGCATGCCCCCATATATTAATTTTATGTATATAAATTGTAAGTTACACATGTATATCATGTACAAATAAGGTTAAAATGGGGATATAACGATGCCAGAAAATTGGGGATAGGGATATAACTTGATGGATTATAAATGAGGTAAAGTTTATATTAAAATAATATAGGGAAATCCGTCATGGCTCATTTGTGGGATTTAATCAAGGTTGGGATATAAATAAGGGGGGATATAAAAGAGGTATGACTGTATGTTTATTGTGTAGTCACTGAACTTTTATTGGCTTTGTATATATATATATATCCTCTAACTCTTCCAAATATGGAAATGCATAACCAAAAACAAAATCATAGAATTAAAGCCAAGACATTTTCAGGTTTGCTATATACATACATATCTAAACTCGATAAGTCGGACGCAGCAATCAATTGTTTAAAGTACTTTATAATATAAATAAATGTCCGACTTATCGAGTTTAGATGTGTATAATAAAAAACATTTTTCAAATTTCAATAAGCTCAATCACCTGGCCGAAATTGGTTTTTCATAGTAGCCAAAATTAATTTTAATATCGTATTTCGGTTTTTTGTTAACCAAACATTATTCGGTATATTATATAGCTCATGTAATAACTTGTTTATTTATTATTATATAAGTTACCTTTAAAATTTTCCAATTCATTATTTTTGATATAAAAAAAATTGTGTGTAACACAACATTTGAAAGAATATGATTATTTTAGTATGTTGCTATTATTTTGCAAATTAATTCATTATCATTCCCTTAAATTATTTATTATATTAATTTCTTTTTATTGAATTTACTATAGATTCATAACTGATTAGGCTTACTGATTCCTTCGCAAGTATTTCGTTGGATCGAATTCTTCCCGTGTATTCAACCCCATTGAGAAACATTTTTGAGTAAAATTTATCTAATTTATCAGTATCTTTTATTTCGAAAATTTGATATCTAGGTTTCATAACGCGTGTTTTTGCTGCAAATTCATGTACCAATTCTATAAATGGTTTAGATGAAAAACAACGACTATGGTCTAAATGTATTCTTTTGTTCACTAAAGATGATCGATCTTCGTAGTCTGATGATCTTCTTTCGCTCACTAAGGATGATTGATTTTTGTGTTCTAAAGTTGATTGATTTCCATAATCTGATAGTCTTCCCTCTTTCACTAAAGATGACCGACCTCTAAAATGTCTTCTTTCTTTAACTAAGGTTGATTGCTTTCTACGGTACAAATGTCTTCTTTCTTTCGCCAATGATAATTGATCTCTGCGGTCAAAATGTTTTTTGTTCACTAAAGATGATCGATCTCCAAAATATATTCTTTTGTTCACTTTATCTTTAATGAACAAAGGAAGATCTTTTTGATTTCTATGGTAAAAACGACTTCTTTTTTCCACTAAAGAAGGTGAATATAATGGTCTTCTTTTGTTCACTGAAGATGATCGATTTTTGTAGTCTGATGACCTTCTTTCGCTCGCTAAGGATGATTGATTTCTGTGACCTGATTGTCTTCCTTCTTCCATTAAAGATGATGGATCCGATGGTCTTATTTCGTTAACTAAGGATGGTTGATTTCTGTGATCTGATGGTCTTCCTTCTTTGACTAAAGATGGTTGATTTTTGTGATCTGATGGTCCTCCTTCTTTGAATAAAGATGGTTGATTTCTGTGATCTGATGGTCCTCCTTTGACTAAAGATGGTTGTTGACCTCCACAGTCCATTGATTCCTTTTTTCTTACTTCCAACTTAGCTATATCTATTTCCTTTCCTATATCATTTACTTCGACTTCTACTGGCAACCCAAGATCATTAAACTTGTGCTTATAAGAAGGTATATCATAATCAAAAATGTCATCATCACCAGGAATTCTTCCAATTGACTTTTGGTATGCTATACTTTTTCCACGAATGATTTTCATTTCATCTAATCTAATTTCTTTATGCAAAATTTCAAGGGCTATAGCAGCAACGTGATCTTGTGCCTCGGGCCTGATTTCAAATCCTTTTGATGGGTTGAATTTGCGTTTTCCAATAATAAGAGAAACATAAAATAATAGTCCTTTTTTTGTAGTACCAGAGTCAGCATCAGCTGCTGGTGGTGAATGGGTAGCAGCATCAGCTACAGTTTTTGCAATGGAAATCGTAACATCGTCGCAATGGTTAATATATTTAATCCCTACTAATCGTGATTGCGGTGGTTTAATGTCAACATAAACTGGATTTCCAAGGTTATAATTCAACGTGAAGTCGGCTAAAAGTGTTCTATATGGTGTTAATGGTTGTTGTGTATCGAACCAAATATCGGATGGTGGTCTTGAAATTTTTTCGGCAATGTCTTTTGCCATTTGATGAACACCATTTCCAAACAATAGTCGCTTGGGGCCTAACTTACATCTCATTTCGAGAATCTGTTGGATGGAAACCGCCAACTTTGGATAACGATTTGTTAAAATTTTTAACGCCACTTTAGCTATAGCATTTTTTGCGTCCTTTTGTCTGTCGTACAATGGTTCGGTTTCCCACTCTTCGTTCTCATAAGTTAATTTACATGAGTACTTTCTATTGACCTTCGACTTGTCGTAAACGTATATTGGTGGTAACGCGTATTTTAATTTTTGATGAAACAATGCGACAACAGCTGATGGTGAAAACTCGGATTTAAATTCTTCATATAATTCCCACCCTGTTTTTGTACCGGAAAACATTTGTTTCTAAAAGTTTTGTTTTTTTTTTAAAATAATTAATATTTTTGTAAAAGGTTTTTTGTAAAAAATTTTTTTTTTCAATATTGTTTTTTTTTTACTTTTTAAAATTTGCCGATAATTACCAAATTTAGTTGACACATCCACAGTCGCGTTCAAATTTTTTGTTTAAAAAAAATGTCGTCAGAAAAAAACTCTATATTAGCTTTAAAATGCGCTAGATTAAAGCTAAGACCAAACAATGTTCCTGATGAGCTACCTGGTCGCGAAAGCGAGTACAAGCGAATCTATGGAAAAGTTAGATCTGCGATTGAACAATTTTCAGGATGTTGTATTTGTAAGATTAACATTTACACATACTTGTCTTTACATGTCATAATAATTTGATATATTTATATATGTCCGCTCCTAAATTAGGCATATCAGGTCAAGCTGGAACCGGTAAAACGGCAACTGTAGAATGTGTCATGGACAATTTAAAGAAGGAAGTTAGCGAAGTTAGCGAAATGGTAAACCATTGAATTGATCGATTTGATTTGATTTGACAATAATTAATTACAACAATATTTAATATTCATTTTTCTTTCTAAAAAAAGTCGTTCCATCTTGTTAAAATCAATGGAATGGAATTAAATTCACCTGAAGAATTGTATACTATATTATGGAAACAATTAACTGGTGTTATTGTAAATAGTTCCGATGCTAAAAAATTATTAGATGCAAGATTTAAGGCTAAATCTGAACCAGGTCCAATGTATTTATCTTTCTATCTATTTCAATATCAATATCACATTTTTTTGCCACACGAATGTTAATGTTATTATTTTCTCTTTTCATCAGTATTCTTATGTTAGATTCGGTTGAGAGTATAGCGAAAGAAAAAAGACAGGTCGCATATAATCTTTTAGACTGGACTGCGCGCTTTGATTTGTTTTTTATCTTGATAGCTATAACTTCTGATGATAGTTTGGCTGATAGTTTATCAGATTCATGCAATAGTAGATTATGTATGTTGAGATTAATAATAATTATTATTATTATAATTATAATTATGAAGACTAATTATATATATATATATAATTTATCAAAATCGAAAAAAAAAAGTGGATAAATTGGTTTTTAAACCATACACTAAAAATGAATTAATTACAATTGCCGACAAATGTTATGAATGTACTCATATATTTGGCAAGGATGTTATAGATGTGGCTGCAAGTATAACAACTTCAGGAACACAAGATATTAAAACTTTTATAAGTATTTGCAGGTAGATTTTTATTGAAATAAATAAATAATGTTATGATTTAATTATAATATAATTTTGTACATTTATTCTTTTTATCCTTTCAAAAAAAAATTATTTTTCAGAGATTCAATCGATATACTGGAATCAAATTACAAGAAAAATCCAAAAATAAACCTTATTGTTACCAATGAAATTGTTCAGAAAGCGATTTATAGATTAAGTAATCCATATAAAGATTATATTAAACGTTGTTCTACACACGAAAAAATGTTTTTGCTAGCATTGTTAACGGCCAAAGACAAAAATATCAATGATTCATCAATTCAAGTTAAAGATGTAAGTGCAAATTTTTTCATTTAAACGGAAATAAATTTTAATTAATTAAAACATTATTATTATTATTATTATTATAGGTTGTACCATTATATATCAAATTATGTAAAAACAAATTTATAGAAGTTCCTAAAGAATCTGATATATTGAATATCGCTTATAATCTTGCGACATCTTCATATATAATTATGGATCCAAGTAAAGACATATATACACCAGTTAATTTTAATGGAAGTGAGGAAGATATACGTGATATATTAAAAACTTTTTAATATATATATATTATAATATCAATTTATTAAAAAAAACTTTACTTTTGAAATTTTTTTTTTTTTTTTTTGCAAAAGCAATAAAATTTAAAATAAAATAAGAAAATTTATTTTTACATTTATATATATTAACAAACAAAACTATAAATTTAAAAAAAAAAAAAAAATTTAAAATACATTGAAAAAAATTTTTACTAATTATATATATGTGAATGTGAGTGTGTGTATGTAAATGCGTGTTTTATGTAAATATATATAAATTGAGAAGGAAAAAAATCTAGTTGGCAGGAAAATTTCTAAAAGAAAAAAGATCGAATAGTGAAATGTGTGCGTGTATGATGATAATGTGATCGTGTTTAAATCTATTATGATGTATTTATATGTGTGTGTGTGTGTATTTAAATAATAATCATTTATTTAAAAATGATTATTATTCAAATAAATTAATCGTTTATAAAATGATTGTTTTTAGAAAATATTTAATGATGTAATTTAAAATGTCCTTTTAAATTAAATAAAGGCAGCTGGATCATGAATCGAATGATTGTTTTGAATCGAAATCAAGAACTTCCATAATGGTTCTACTTTCACGTTGCAATAATACTACAGCTTTTGTTTGTTGAAAAGCTAATCGCCAAACAGCGTTTCCTGGAGTTGTCAACTCGCGAATAAACTCTCCGGTCTCAACATCCCACAACTTTACGTGACCGTCATTTCCTCCTGACACGATACGTTTCTCATCAAATTGTAAACATGTTACTGAATTGTCGTGTGCTGCAATATGTTGTACACATCGATTCGTTTCCAAATCCCAGATACGAATGACACCATCACTTCCTCCAGTCACAAGTGTCGAATCATGAAGTTGTAATTGACCTACAAGTGATGTGTGACCTTGTAAAACATTTAAACTTAATCCTGTCTTGAATGACCATACACGTGCAGTAGAATCAAGCGAACTAAACATTTATAAGATGATGATGAATAAGCTTTATTAGAAATACGTTAAATTTTTGCAAGTTATAATATATATATAAAGCATATTACACACCCTGTGACTATTCTTTCGCCATCAAATGCAATAGAATAAATTTGCGAGTAATGTCCTGAAAGTACATGTAGACATTCACCAGTAACTATATTCCATACCTATATAATAAATTATATTATTATTGTTATTGTTTATTAATCAAATATATATAACGTACACGCACACACATATATTTATGCAGACTTACCCTTGCATTACAATCATAACTTCCGGATACAACGATATCACCATAAATCTCCATACATCGTACACTAGCAGTATGACCAGTAAGTAAATGAATTAAATGACCTTCTTCAATATTCCAAACTCGAAGTGTAGCATCACGAGATCCACTCACAGCTATTGTTTTATCTTTCATTTTTAAAGAGCGGACTGTTGATGTGTGTCCATGAAGTACATGTTTACATTCGGCTGTATTAATATCCCAAACGCGTACTTCACTATATATATATATATATAAATAAGATATTAATTGAGTGATTGATCGATTTATAAAAAGTATTAATGATTAGTTAATAAATTATTTTAAAAAAAAAGGCTTACCGATCACAACCACCGGAAACCAATACTTCATCAATATATTGTAAAGCCCATACGCCACCATCATGACCTGTTAATGTTTTTATGTATTTACCGTTGGAAACATCAAATATATGAATTTTATTATTATCCATTCCAACCACTATGTAATTTTGACATGTCTGTAAAGAAGTTACAACACCAGAATCTGGACTTATATGGGTGACAAGTGTTTTACCACCATGTTTCCAGTTTGATTCAACTATATAACGCCTTCGGAAATGTTCTTTATATGAAAAATTTGTACAATTAGATGATGTTGTTGATGATGTTGGCGATGTTAAATCAATGGTGTTGGATTGTGAAGAAGTTGTTGTTGTTGTTGATAACGACGAAGATGATGACGGAGTGGGAGTGGAGGAGGAGGAACAATTTGGCAATGGTTTTATCATAGAACTACGTCTTTTAAAATGGTGACGCACACATAAATTTTTCCAGGTGAACTCATCGTTTAACAGTGAATGCCAAAAACTAGAGACGCCTGATGCTCTAGAAAGTGTTTTTGGATCATCAATAAAAGACAATATATGTAGACTAAGTTCTATTGGAAGGTCTTTTAAGAAATCACGTTTCAAACGTGGAGATATATAATTTGAAACAAAGACCAATTGTTCGTTATTACAAATGTTCAAAAGTTCTGCCAAGAGTCGCTGTCTCTGCAAGTTTTCCATGTTTTGAAAACTCATTCTAACTGTTCTGCTAAATTCATCTTCGGATTGAGTTGGATAACCTTCGGTGGTTGAAGAAGGAGGAAATAGTTGTGGTGAGGGTGCAGGTGTTGGTAAACTATGAAAATTTGTGGTAGTTACCCATGGTACTTCGAGCGGTAAAGGGCGTTGCATTATTGATAAAGTCTGTTTCCCTTGACTATTATCATTATTATCATTGGTTTCTTGACTATTAATAGTAGATGTGATGGTAGTAGCAGGAGTGGATGAAGCAGTAACAGTTCCTTTCATCATTCATATGTTAGTTTAAAGTTGTTAATATATGATAATTTAATTAACGATGTTTCTTTTTGGATTAGCTGTACTAAATGAGATGGAAGAAATAAAATTATTTAAATAAAAGTTAATTTGTCTCTATTACCAATAAATATAACAAATAAGATTAAGGAGTAATGAATAATGTATTATATTTATATTTATATATTTTATATGTGTATTTATATATATATTTGATTAATAATTGTATGTATTAATGTATGTATTTAAAAACAGAAAGGAATACTTTTGATTGAATATTAATTAAATAGCGTGAAACAAAAAAAGCTTTGGATAAAAAAAAATTTTTTTGACGTTTTTTTATTCTCGAAAATAATTTTTTTTATATTTATATATAAATTTTAATTTTAAATTAATTATCTTATTGATAAATAAATAATAATAAAACCTATTATTTATTGTTCAGTGACCATTTTTTTATTTTAAAAAATAAAAATGTCTTTATTTAATTATCTTTTTGTTAATTTTATAAATAACCAGTTGGCTCCCTCACATTATTTATTTATTTTATGCATAAAAAAATTACCCATTTTAATCAAGTAGCTTTAAAAGATAATGATTTTCAAAAGTTTAACATATTTGGATTGCAATGTTATAATAAAAATGGTAAATTTGATTGGACACTTTTTCTTTTTTGTTTATTTATTGTTTTCCGTCATTGTTAAAGAAAAAGAAGGAAGAAAGCGTGTGTGCGTATGTGTGAATATTGAAGAAATTTAATAGGTTCATTCATTCACTTGGTTGAATATGATAAAACCCACGTGTAAAAAGTCTGAAAGCATTTTTAAAAAAAAGAAAAAGAAAAAATTTATAAAGAGAATTTATGTATGTGAAATAGTGTTAAGATTTTTTTCACAAATAAAAATATAGTGAAACAAATAAGATTTTCATATATTAATTATCATAATAATCATAACGATCACAACGAAGAGACCAGCCTCTTCAAGAACATAATGGAATGAATTAATTGCGGGGGAAAAGGTGTAATTAATAGTGTCCAAAAAAATCCTCCAAAAATAATTCAAAAAAATTTTTTTTTAAAATTAAGTCTTCATCATCATATTTCATCGTTTTGAATATTAATGTGAACGATAATGTTGTGGATTACGATGGTGTCCATGAAGTCGAATATATAATCCACAAGAATTACCTAAATATATTTATATGGCATCACTATACATTATTTTATATAAAATGGGAAATTTTATGAACATTCCTTACATAATCTTTGACCATCAAATTTTCTCCAACAAGGTGATTGGGTCACATGACAATTAATACACATGTGATTTTGAGTCTTAGTATTTTTACGTTTTATTTTAATTTTTCCGTTCACGTTCTCTGTTGGACGACGCGTTCCATATTTTTTATGACTAAATAAGAAGTTAGAAAGAAAATTTAATTATTTTTTCCTAGAAATTAAAAGAAAAAAAAACAAAAAAGAGAAGGAAAAAATTCACTCAACTAAAGTCCACACGCATTACTTTATTTATATATGATATATAAAATGAATAAGTTACAAATCGAAAAAATAAATCAATTATAGTAATAACAAACCATAAACGCTCTCCTTCACTTCCTGTTCTCCAAGTTGGAGTATCATTTGTTCGACAATAAAAACATTTAGGATTTTCGTTTGTTTCATTTATTGATGATAATGATGATGATGATGATTGTAAAGAAATAATGTTATTGTTGTCATTATTATTATTATCAATTAATAAATTTGTATCATTATTATTAATATCAATACTCTCATTATTTTCATTATTGTTTTCACTACCATTACCATTAATAATATTATTATGATCCTCACTATTATTATTAATTCTTAATAAACCGTGATCATATTTGTATGAAATTTGTTGTAGTTGTTGCTGCTCTTGGTGCATTTGATAGCCTTGATGCTCATAATGTTCTTGTTGATTATCCTGATTGTGTTGTTGTTGTTGTTGTTGCTGCTGATGATGATGATGCTGATGATGTTCAACAAAAAGCCTTGGATCAATATATAAAATAGATTGTTCTAACTTTATAATTGGCTGATAATTAGTTAAAGCGGAAGCATTTCTAATAATCAAATGTTTATCATTGAATCATGAAGATTAAAGATATTTTAAAGAAACAATTATTCTTTAAAAGAAAATGAACTATGTGCGTACTTACTCCTCATCTTCTTGATGATGATGATAAAATCCAGACTGTTCATTTCCAACATAATCAGTAAAATGTGTATAGTTAATTAACCGATTTAATGAATTCATCTTGATTTCCTCTCAATTTTTATTTCTTGATTTTTCTGAATTTTCTTTCTTTTTTTTTTTTTAATGAAAAAAAAAGTTTTTGAAATAAATATCAGATATAATGTTAATAATTCAAATAATTTTGATCTTTTATTTGATTTTTTTAATGAATTTTTTTTACGTCTATTTATTTAATTTTTACATGATTGAAATAATATAAGAGTTTCTCTTATTTTTAAATCATGCACATTCTTTTATTACATATTATATAATTAATATTAATTATAATTATTTTGGATGCATTAATAATATATTTATTAACAATGGCAAAAATTGACATTTATATTTTTATTTATATTTTTTTAGTAACTTTTTTTAAACTTTTATATTGCCAATCATGATGTAAATAAAGTTTATTTCAAAACAATCCTTTTTATATACCAATCATTTTATTATATATTTGTTCATATGCAAATATTTTAATTCTAAACTATGTAAAAAAAAAATTTTTAATGATAAATTTTTGGTTGAGAAAATTTTAAATCGTTCCCAATTTTTAAGCTTACTATAATTAGCCATAAAACACAAAAAAGGAAAACATGATATCAATCCCTTATTGGATAAAACTCTTCATGACCATTATTAAATTTCTATAAAATAGTTTTTCGCGAACATTTCTAAAACTTATTAACCAATACCCATCATAAATTAATGACCATATGAAATCTTAAATTGTTCTACACCTTCTCATTTACTATCAAGCCTTTTAAAGCGATATTGAGAAATAATCTGAGCTTTGAAGTGAAAAAGTAATACCGTTTTTGAATAGCCGTGAATTCA